AAATCAAAGCTAGGGAATAAAAATGCCCAAGCAAGCAGTCTGTAGGAGTGATGCAGGTTGGGATCATGGCAGGGACTGATGGCATTAATTTCCATCAGTGACATGGACAATAGACTATATAAACTGAAATTAGATGTTGCCACAACACCAAACAGGGGAAGGGCAAAGCTGCTGCTCAGAGGGACTTTGGCAGATGGAAGGAATAGACCATTAAAATCCACATAAGGTCCAACAGAGTAGCAGAAGGCAAAAGCACAGGCTTTAACTCGTGCCAGCTCATGAGCTGACAAACTAGAGACTGCATTTACAGGAGAGGAACTGGATGTCCTGATGGAGCAGGACAAAGACAGTGCTGCAGCCTTGCAGGTGATGCAAGTTAACTGCACTGGCAAGAGTGTGGCCAGCAGAGCATTCAAAGTGATCCTGACCCTTCCACGTGGCATAATGGTGCCCTGTCTGCAGGACTGTGCCAGCTTGTGGGGCCACTAGTAATAGGAATATTTACAAACTAAAGAGAATACAGAGGAGGAGTGAAAGGGGTAAGGGGCAGGAGGGAACAAAAGGCTGAGAGCACCAGGTTTCTGCAGCTGAGTGGTGCATCCCATAGCTGCCTTCTGCTACATAACAAGAGGGTTATAGAGAAGATGAAGCCACAGGTGCATTGCAAAATGACAATAGGCAGACGCCCAGTTGCAGCAAGAGAAATTCCAATTGGATTTGTGAGGTGGAGGGGAAGAAATTAACAGGCTGCTCAGGTGTGTTGTGGAATCTTCTTTCTTCAAGATTTTCATGTGCTACTGGAGAAACTGAGCAACCTGTTCAGACTTTGAATATGGCCCAGATGTGAGCAGAAGGTAGGACCACATAGCCTTCAGAGGTGCCATCCAACCTGAATGATTCTGAAATTCTAGACAATCCAGTACAATCTGTGTATTGTATCTTTGGACGGCTTAGCTATGCAAAAGGAAAATTTGTTATTTTATTCTGACCTATTGCTGAGTGCTTATAATTTTAGAGTGTTTATAGTTTATCTAGAGTGGCTCAGAAGTATTTGTTTTTATGGAATAATTAAATTAATTTACTTTTTTTCCTTAATGTAAAGAATCCAAACAAGGTGGAGCACAGGAAATGTTATTTTTTCTGTGAAAGAACTATGATACTGATTTTTGCCTGTGAGTGAGGTTTAAATCCCTTGACATTTAGCTCAATTTCCTTTTTGCTTTACACCTGTGCAACAACATTTCCCTGAAGTCACAGACCTATTATAAGAATGAACATGTCAGTTTCTTAATTACACCCATGGAGCAGTGACATCTTGACAGTTTCTTTCTTTGTCACTGAACTTACCTTGAGATCACCTCAAGGTTACCAGTGCAGTAGCAGTGGCTGAAAAGGGAAAAGTCCTGCACCCTTCAGGTCCTCAGAGTTCAAAAGGTGTTGGCTGAATTGGTGACTTCTAAATTGGTGACTTCCAAATCCATTTAGGTTTCAAGGTCCTGGGTTGTTTGGTATATGTACTATTTCTTCAGATGACTGAGTCACCTGACTCAATGTGACTGGAAATGAAGATCCATTCAGGAGGACACACCTGGTGTTCTTTGGTCTTTTTTACTCACCTACCACTGACTAGTTATTGTATAATGACCAATACGAGTTGTGCATCATTCAACTACCATTTGGGCCAGGGGTAGTTATTTGGGTACTTTTAGCAGTTGTATTTCTAAATGAAAATTAGGTTTGCACGGTAGATCTGTACTGCCATTTGAGGTTTTTTTTTTCCTAAATTTTCAGCAGCTACAGCTTTTTCTTACAGTTGTTATAAGATGTAAAAGTCCAAGTGGGTGGGTGTAATAATGCAAACAAAACCAAATAACTCAGAGCTGCAAAACTGAAATTCAGCAAGAGAGAGACAAAACCAAAATATGACCATATGGAAACTCTGCAATGTTGGGAATGTTTGTTTCTTTAATTCTGAGAGGGAAAAGGCAAAGATTTGTAAAACACCTTGATGAAAACATAAAATAAGCAGCAAAGTAAATCACTGTAATAATTCTACATACACTTTATTAAAAAAGAACACTTCCTGAAAATATAGATGTGCTTGAAAAACATATTGTTTGTGGAAAATTTTGCAAATACCATCAAGTTACTTAAATATACTGCTGCTCTTAGGTTGAAATACATAAACCCCATGGAATGAATTGAACCTATACCTATACATCCAAATTTATTTCTTAAATTAGTTTGATTATCATAACACCCTATAAGAGACTGTAAAAGCCTACCAGAATAGGAAGATCCTGTGGCATTCTTTAAAAGTGGAGTTCTTTCACCCACAAATTTAACTGACCTTCTTGCCCCCTGCCTTTCAGAAACTGCAGCTACAAATGCCATCTGTATTAGCAATATAATGCACTGAATGACAGTCTGATCCTTTATCTGCGCTATTAGAACAAAGAATAAGTGGTTATTAAAATTATGACTGACTTGAGGGGTCAGCAATACTTGACATTTATGTGAGACTTATTCTCAGAGAGCAGAAATAAACTGCATAGGCAAATGCCAAGTACAAGCTCACCCTCCACTGGTCATGGCTAATAACTCGCCCGTCACACCAGAGGACAAAAGGTGCTGTACAATAGAGATTTCCCAGGAAGTTTCACACAGCAGTGCTAGGCAGACTTGTGAGAAAGAGAGCTGATGTTACATTCCAGTACATATTAGCAAAATGTTGGGCCTGAAGTGCTGAGTCCTGACTCCATTTGACAAACACATCTCCTGCAGAATCCAGCAGGAGCTCAGCAGGGTCAGTCTGTGGCACAAACAGGAGGCCTGGTCAGCAGGACAGCTATTTAAAAGTGATCACACTCAACGGCTTTGCTGCAGTCTTCCTCTTTCACCTTTGTCATTTTGGAGTTCTCAAGGTCATTTCACTAATTATAGTGACAATCCATTTATCCATGAAACTTTTCTAGACTGAGATGCCCTTTTGGATACAAGGATTGTGGTTACAATTGCAGAATATTCAATGATTGCAAGCAAGTTAAGAGGAAGGAAGCAGGAAGAGGAAATCAAGCAATGGCAGAGATCCCTGTTTGTTTCTTTATTTGCTTACACTAAACTATTTCTATTACACAATGTAGAAAGAAAATTATTTCCAAATATTTCCATTCTGCAGTCTGTTTTTCTACAGCTGTAATTATCTAAGGACATAGGCACAATAACTTCTGTAAGGAGGGGTAATACTCCCTGTCAGCTGGTATAGAGTCTAATTTTCTAGCTAAACTGATTGATCCAATAAAGGATTCTACCTCTACAAACTTTGTCACAGGAAATTTACTGATGATATTTAATGATAAGATTTTTGTCTAATAACCTCCATGCCAAAATCTCGCATGTGATTTCTCAGCAGGAGAGGTAAAAAAATAGACTTAACTTCCTTTCTTTTCATTTTGCTTCTGGGCTAAGACATGCTACTCTTTGCTTTAATTTTATCCTAGGATCACTCTTTGTGTTTCACCAAGGATGCCCTAGGATATCCAGCTCCCCCTGGAAAAGTTTGGCAGATCAGCCTCTCCTCTCTGCAACACTTCACCTCTAACACCGGGCACCAATGTTCAGCTGGGACAAAATGTACATTCCACATCACATTTACCATAGTTCTACCCCGGACTTTTGCCAGAGTAAATAAGTAACATGCATTGTGGGATCTCAGTCTCTCAGAACTGGGGTGCAGGGTGAACGAGACCACCCCTGGGGGGCTCGGGAGTCCTGGAATGTTGCCAGAAATGTCTGGTGGCTGGACTTTGATCCCACATGGGAGATGACATCAGTATGAGGACAGGAGGATTTCACCGGGGTGAATGGTGAAGGGATAAGTTAATTGGAGTGTGAGATACAGGGTTTAAAATTTCTGTACAGGGGGGTCTAGAGAAGTAAGATGGAGGAATTGGAGCGTGCCCTTCTCCTCCTTCTTCTTCCTCTAGGCCTCCATTTTCTGTGGTGATGTTGGCACTTTGGGATTGGTCTTTACTAAAAGTGCACTGGTTAATAAGGGTAGAGGGTATTGGAGAAAAATGATAAATATTGTATACGTAACTCCGGGTATAAAGATAGGTGGCCGCCCCAGGGGCTCTCAGTGTGTGCCCATGGCTGACTGCTGAGCAGAACTCTGTCAGGCCAAGAGAAAATCTTTTAGATAAGCAATTAATAAACACCGAGACCGAGAAAAAATCTGAAGTTTCTTCTCGTCCTTTGGAACGCGGGCGACCCAAGGCCATCTTGGGCTTTTCCCAGACCATCTAAACAGCCCCAAAATCCGACAATGCATCTGCCATAATCAAAGGTAAAAACAATAGTATGTTCAGGAAGTCAGCCAAAAAAAAAAAACAACCAACCAACCAAACAAAACTCCTTGAGAGAATACAAATAGGAGTTAAAAGATAAATCCTGTCAGTCCCAGAGCCTCCACATTACTAGGGCAGTTGTCTGCTACAGTAGAGGTGATAAAGCTCTCTTCTCTAGCCTGAAACAGACTTGAAGGCCTCAAAATCAATTACAAACAGAATCAGAAAAATATGATGTGTGGAAAGAAAAACTTTATTAATCTACCCAAAAGAAAAGTCTTGGATAGGCCGCTGAAAACAGGAGCATGCAGTACTGAGTGGCTAGGAGGAAAGTATTGTGTTTGCCCATACTAAAAATACAAACAAACCTCTAAGTCTATCCATACCTCAGCCACACATGACAATCTGGTTGAGTTTTCTGCCTCCAGGCGCCAGCAGCCAGCAGTGCAAAGCTCTTTCCTGATGGCCACTGTCCTTTTTCCATTGTTGCTCCCTCAGGTTCAGATAACTGTCTATTTTTGGAGGAGCAGAGCTCCAGGCCAAGAATTAAAAGTCTTTGTAAAGGGCAGCTGGTGGTTGTACGCTTCTAATACAAGACCTTTGTTCAAGCAACAAAACATTTAAATCCCTCTCCTCATGTGTTCTGTGTGTTGCAGAATCCCTAAATTTAAATTTAAAAATGAAAGCATAATCATTACATTAAGAGTAATTAATGTATTCTATCCCTTTATCACAAAAGTGTGCTTTCCAGGTGGTGAGGTTTTTTCAGCTAATTTAATGTCCTATTTAAGAGCATTCAAAGGAAGGATTAAAATGATAGTGAAAATGGGGAAATATCAGATTTAACACCAAAACTTTTAAATACAAAGATTTATAGTCTAAAGTTTTAAATAATTGTTCAAATTTATAAGAGGCTGTTCAAAGCTGTAATTGAAAATTTCTGGAAATATTCATTATATGACCCATAACAATCATGGTAAGACTTGTAAAAGTTATTAGAGTTGTCAGCTTAGCACATAAAAGTCAAGACAATGTCACAGATATATCTCTTCTGTGTATATCACTATTGGCAAATTGAATTTAGGAATTTATAGGAATGCACTAGGAATTTGATGATTTGTTTTACCTATCTCTAGAAATGTCATTCACGTAAGTGTCAGCAGCTACTAAAATGGAAATTATTAAAGAGAGAACAGCTGCAACAGCCACCTCCCTATATCTCTCTTTCAGACCTTCAGTTTGGAAGGTCTGGCTTTCATCCTGTCTTTCCTCATTGCTTTATATAAGGCTATGTTCAAACTGGGAAAGTTAGAAATCATCTCTAAGTCAAACAGCGTCTGAAATCTGTCCACAAATCTGTTCTCATTCTCCAGCCTAAACTTCATGGCCCACAGAATAACAGTATCATTCTTGCACAAGTGATCAAAAGTTAGGAGGAGCTCATCCAGGAATGGATGGTAGTAAACTACATCAGCAGCCATAATGTAGTCAAAGTGACAGGAAGACCGAGGAAAGTTCTTTTCCAGATCAATTCCCCAGGACAACTCCTTGACACAAGGCTGGTGTTTGCATTTCTGCTTTGTATTTTGGAGAATGTTGTACTCAAGGTTTCCCAGTAGTTCTGGCAAATCTGTGGCAGTTACAAAGGCACCTGTGACACAGAGAAAACAAATACAATATTTGAATATACAACAACACTTGAGTAAAAGCCCATTCACAAAAACCACTGCACAAAGAACTGGTTTTATGAGGTAACTCTCACTGAGGGCAATAAAAAAATGCAGATGCTCCCAATAACTCTTAAATATTGTGCTTAAAGTAAATATTTTCTTCCTTGTAGTTCTACTCTACAGATTGCCATCTAAATGCAGCTGATGGGGAGAAATCAGATACTTACTGTATCTTGATATCATCACATTGGTTAAAAGTACAGTGGCTGACCAGGGATTGATGAATACCCATTACTGAGTCCAAGAAGTCAGCATGAAATTTAAGCATTACCTCAAGATCTTCCCTTCTCATACAAGAAAAAGCTTTCTCAGACTACCAAAAGCTAAAATTCTGTTAAAATGCAGAACCTACTGACCTGGATTACTCTTGGAGATGAATAGGGTGCCATGACAGAAAACACAACAATGTCTGTAGCAGAGAGATCAAGTTGCTGAAGGAAAATACTGAAACACAAACGGATAGAATTGGATGGAAGGTGACCTGGCATCCAAGAGCTCTTTGGTCAAAGGAAGGGGATGCACTGGTCTTACTTACATCTGGCTCAGTCTACTTGCCACTGATACCCTGCAAAGCCACTAATTTTTAATTTGATCCCCAGTTTAGCATGGTTAATGACAACATATCTACTGTGACCTCCTTTATTTTATCAATACACTCCCAGAAGAAAAAAAAACAAACACCAAAGCATGTTTCCAAACAAGCCTTTTAGAATTTACTATTTCTTGCTCTTGGAAACTTTCAAACAACAGTCTCTTAGAAGAACCAAGCCACATCATTTGTCCTCCATTATTCATCTGAGAGGTGTTTCCAAGAGCTTAAGAAAGATATCACATACTCACCCAGTAAACTGGCTACTATGGAGACCAAGCCAGTTCCAGCTCCAATTTCAATCACATTTTTGTCAACCAAATTGCATTGTTTAGAATGAGTTTCCAAAAAATAACACAGAACAAGAGCCTGTAGGGGAGGAAATCCATGAACATACTGAACAAAATAATGAACTAAATCCCTTTACTAAATATGAATTGTCATTTAAAAGCATGCAAAAACTTTGTTATCTGTTCAAATGAGCAACATTCATTCAAGCACTATCCCTAAAGGACCACAGCTCACGATGATCTTTGGGCTCTATAGGTCACAAAATAAATGCTACAAAATAAGTCTGTGAACTATTACAGACAGAAGGAGCAACTACAATTAGATAATCTGTCACAACACATGACATGAGTTGTAAAATTCTGGTCACCAATTCCTGCTTATAACTGGACTTACTTCTGGTTGAGATAAAATATTTCCTCCACAAAAATTTCCTCCTTGTTAAGTTCTTCCAATAGTCAATTATTTCTGGCAATAATTAATCGTTAAGTTTCAAAAGAGACAAATAGATTTACCCCCTTTTCTTTTGGCTCAGTTTGTTTGCAGTTTGTATTCTATTCTATTCTATTCTATTCTATTCTATTCGCTTATCTGGTTAAGCTTAGCAAACTTTCATAGTAAATACAGACACAAAGAGCATCTACAACAGACTCCTTACACATGTATATATAAAGTGATTAACTGATCAGTTAAAGTGATTAAAAAAATCTTCTTCAGCTTTTCTGCCCTATCTCACACTGACCAGTGCATTTTAGTTCACTGGTGAAATAGAAATTGCTAATTTTATTTCTCTCATAAAGATAGTTTCCATATTTATATCCATATCTTTACCAGACTTTGATAGATGTACAATCTCCATTGACAAATGAGATGATTGCTATATCCTCTCAGAATACAGATCACCATTTGGAAAGGCAATCATTAGCAGCCTGCTCTGGCACAGCAAAATTAATTTTGCTTTTAAGTAATAATGAATGAGAAGGAAAGGAGCAGGAGGACTGCTGGCCCAGTGTTAACGTGCTGGAAAGTAAAACAAAGGGGTTTTTTCCTACCTCTTAATTCAGAGCACAGAATAAAAGGTAATCCAAACTTATATATATAATTTAATCAACAGCACCGATATAGAATCAGTCTGTGAGAACCAGGAATAATTAAAGTCAGGTTCCTAAAGACTGGATCTGATATTTGACATTACATTAGGATTTCCTCCTAGTTACATTAATTCCTATATTTCCTTCCATCAGGGTTTTGCCATATTCTATTGTAGAAACTGGCTGGCATAATCAAAGTTTCTGAAGGTTAAATCAGGGAAACTTTGAAATCTGCATTCCTTTCCATGAAACATGCAGAAACTTTACTTTCCTTGAAGTTTCTGCACTCTTGAAAAATTTGGCTGCCATTTTTCAGAAGATTTCAAGTACCGCTAGATGGAAGTGGAAGGGACAACATCAAGAGACAGAGATCAAAGGATTGTCTTCCTTCCACAACAAAATTGGCTAAGCCAATATGTTTTTCATTAAAGTCCAAATCACGGACTTCACTGAAAAACATTTTTTTTTCCAGGAAAAAAAAAAGTTTTTCAGTAAAGTCCATGATTTTGTGCAAATAATTGGTAGTCAGCCAAACTTTCCATGAAGACGTACACAGAGGTCACCAAAACATATAGTACAGATGACTGGTCCAGGTCTCCTAAAACCAGGAATATCATTTGAACTTCAAAGCAGAAGAGTAGGACAACTATCCTCAGCTGAACTATGGTCATACTTCTAAAAAACAGCATGATCCTAGGAGGCTGAGGCTGTTGGGAAGGAAATGGAGCATCCTGGGTCTCTCCTTTAGGGACACAAATCTCATCATGCATCATGGCACCTCCCTGGAGATTTATCTCAGTCTTAATTACTTCAAAACAGTAAGTTTGCTGCATTGCACATATTCAAAACCTGAAGAAGAATACTTGTATGGCGAATGTGTTGATGGTTCTTATATCAAGAGCCAAGGACAATGGTTCTCTCCAAGTAGATTTCCAGCTGTTTAAGAAACTGAATGCTGCAGCTGAACATTTTCCCATGTCTATGTATTAACAAGGTAAATTTGTTCCTTACATGAGAAGGTTGAATAGCTTCTATGAGTGATAACACCTTGTGAGCTTGCATCACAGTTGTTTCTGCAACCTGGATCTGCCTGCTACACAGCCATCTGTATTTATAAAATGTACAGAAATGCAATCATCATAAAACTGCCATATTTCTTTCAAAATATGCTTGTAATTGGCTAATTGGATTAAAAGCTACTGGCAAGCGAGGAGGGGACACAGGATCATACACCTTGGGTGATTAGGGCATGCACAAGAAATACCAAGTAAGCTTTGAGAAACATAAATCCACAAAAAAAACCAGGTTAATTTCAGGTTTGGGATTTGCAGAACAGAGACAGAGAAACACAGAATTATTTCCTTGGGTTTATAGCATGTAAAAAAGTATATTTATTATACAAAACAAATCTTAAAATGATAGATGGCTCCAAAAATGAAAAATAACTATACTACAAAAATATTGTACCGATGGCCAGACAACTGCCCCGTAGCAATCAGTGGCTTCTGTAATTCTTATCTCATGGCCAGCAAAGTGAAAGCCTTCCCAGGTCTTATAAGCTATATGGTCAGGAAAGAAACGCCTCAACATGATTTCTGCAACTATCTGTTCATCTTCTTTTTCCCCTGGAAGCAAAAGTATAAAAGGTCAAAGAGGCTGAGAGGACAGATAATAAAACTATCAATTCATGTTAAAAAGCTGATTGGGAAGCAAGAATATAAATTACATCCATGAATAAAATACATTTCACCATTAATGGTTAGCATGGTACACAGCTATTCTTCTGAATTTTCTAATTGAAATTTTCAGTGTGTGACTAAATAACTTCTTTCATGTCTCACTGAAGCAGCCAAGTTCATACAAAGTAAAGAAGGGGAATGTTAGCATACATTGTTTTCCATTTCAGCAACCCAAACGAAATTTTTAAACTTTTTTCTTTCAAGAACAGCTGCCCTAGTAAAGACGGTCACAGCCTTATGCACCTGGATTTTTCATTATTCTCCATATCCTTTTATTGTTCACTTTCCCCATATTCTGGTTCTTTCTGACAGTAAACAAAAGGAGCCAGAATATCATTTATAAGTCTGCCACAAAACTTGTGAAACAGACCCTAGCAACACAAATGATGACAGACAGGAGTGAAAGCACTCGTGTTGTCAGGAAAGTTTATCCACCCACCCAACAGCGCCCTGTCAGAGGGATTCTTTCCACTTGGCTTGATAGCCTGAATGCCATCCTTGTTGCTAAGCAAAGAATATTTATGATAGATAACAAAATCCTGGATAACTGTTCTAACAGAAGAGGATTAATTTCTTTTTAGAGGAATACCAAGCTAGTTTCAGTTTTGCCATCATCACACAAAACTGCACCACAATGTCAGAAAACAATATTTAAGTGAAACTGTCTAGAGCATTTTCTTAGCAAAGCCTAGATTCCTTCCAAGTTTTCATGGGAATTTTACTTTCATAGCCAACTATGGTCTGTTAGCAAACCAGTGAAAGAAAAACATGTTTACAAGCTACACCAAGAAAGCATGCTTGAGATTAGATAACTCAGTTACCACCTTGTCCAAAGCAGAGTTTCTGTATCAGGCCTGCAGCTCCCATCAAAATCACAGATATTAACTTTGGGATCTGCTGGCTCTGGAAAATGAAACCATTTATGCTGTCATCAACATAAAAGACTTTGCTCTACTGAAGATTCTTCACATTTTCTTCCCCCTTGAATCATTGTGGTCACAAAGGACATAAAGACCCCCAAGTGTTGTCATTTATATTGCCATATGCCTCAGTATTTTTATTATGATAATTATGGACAAAGTCTCCCTTCCTTGTTCCAAGGAATAAAAGCAGGGGTAAACAAAGAAAAAGATTATACCACAGAAAAATACATCATGAAGTTGCTCAAGCTTATTAGCCAGTGCTTTAAGCCTGTAACTCGAATTTCAGCATCACAGGAAAATAGAGAATAGCATCAAACAAGGAAGAAAAACCAAAAATATTTGAATTTATGTTGACATTAAGACACAAAAACCCAATAAAAGCTGACTAACCAACCACAGTACTCATAGAATCTATTGCAGGGGAGAACCCTAATCACAGGATACAGCAAAATTAAAAACTGTATCATGCATATACTGCTAGGAAAAAAATGTTTTCATAAATTTTCATAAATTTTCAAAATAAAATGCCCAACATTGAAACTATGGTATTTTAAGATGTTGGAAAACAAGCAGTATGTGTCAGCCTCTTCGAGCCTCTGATGTTAATCTGGGAGAAAACACATGCATCACTGTGCCTGTAATGAGGGGGCTCTTGACAAACATGAGCTAAGTGCCAGGGAAATGTTGCTTCAGGGCAAAATTAATCTTCTCTTATGAAAGAAATAATAAAAAGCTGTCTTATTACACATATCATAAGTGTATTTAATAGATCATCCTGTTTCCAAGCATGCCAGATATAGCCTGCTTTTAATCTTCTCCCATTGCTTAGAGCAGTCTGATCTTGTTCTGTGATCATTCCTTGCTGTGGAAGTAAAAGATACTCTTTCTACTACCTTTCAATTACAACCATTTTTCTTGATTTTCCTTCCTTGACATCTGTTTTGGATCCAATTTTGTTGAGAAGCTGGTAACTTATTAGGTCTTAACTTATAAAGCTCCTATGAGATGATTTATAAAATTTTAGCAGTGTTACAGCTGCCCCTCTAGCACTCAATAAACATTTCCCACCTATTCCCTACAGGATCAGCAAACTTCCTACTTCAGGTTTGCATAGCACCTACACTAACAGAGTTTGTAAGCCACTGCTCTCTTCCTGAGCATTGTCTGTACCCCTGAAAGAAGAATCCCGAATCTGCTGATCAATAACACCGCTTGAATTTTTTGCCCATCTCATCCTTTTGGTAATCTTCCAGGTGGCTTATCTGGAGAACTTTACACGTTTTTTTTTTTTTCTTTAAGAAAACTATTTTGGAGAATCAAAAATAATATTTGTCTCATCAGAGTTATCATGTTAGACAAGGCCCAAAGGAGAAACTTTATCACAACCAGGACATTAATGATCCTGACAGAAAGAGTGCTGACAAATAAGAAGTGCAGAGTTTTAGTCAGATTCACTTATTTTGTACAAGTTTCCCTTTGAACAGCAAGAAACACTCCTCTGCTGCTTCTTATCTTTCAGAACAATTTCTTGTGAGAGTGCACAAAAGCAAATAAGTTATTTTTTCTGTTACTGCCCTCAAAGCACTGAGAATAGAAAAATTAAGAACTAGTGGGAAATCTTTCAAGTGACACAAAAATTGTTGCAAGAGTAAGTAAAATCCAAGTGAGATGAACTCTTTTAATATCTGAAAACATTAAGGAAATTTTGCTGGTACTTTGATCAAACTAGTTCCTTGATAACAGGTGTAAAAAGCTGAAAGGGAGTTATTCTCCTGGAAGTGTTTACCTTTGTGTTAGTGAATATTCTCTTGTTCAGAAAAAAAAAGCCCTGAATTTATGAATCAATGAACGGACTCTAATGACATTTTAAACAAAAAGAGATTACCCATCAGTAGAATAGAGTAGGATAAGAGAAGAGGAGGCTTGACTGACCTGGCTATCAATTCTTGTAAGAATGGAAGGGCATAATGGGCATTTCCAGCAATACTACTGGAGCACAGATACTGAACCATCAGAACTGAAAAGTCTGCCAGGATTGGCTCCTCTGTTCTTCACAGATCCAGAAGAAGACAAACACACAGGTTGTGTTTGACAAGATAGGCTTGCTCTCACCCCTCTTCTTTGATGTGAAGAAGTGTGGAAGTGGTATACGCACAGAACTATTTTCTTCAGCCTATTCATCTGTTTGCATGAGCAAACACAGAAACCACTGGAGTTTCTAGTGCCAGAACCTTATTTATAGAAAGATGAGGCAGTTTCATCCACTCAAGGTAACATATAGAACATATAGAAACTGAGATTATTTTTCTTACTGAAACAGAGAGATCTCCTTTGTCTTGAACTTGTGTACAAAAAGTTACCTCTATAGTGCCCCAAATCCTTCAAGAATATCTTCAAGTCTCTTAAGACTTTTTGCCCAATAGGTTAATTACTTACAGTGTTCTTTGGAATATTTTAGATAAAGCAATGCTTATTATATAAGTCTAACATCTTTGGAGCATGTTCCATGAGCTCCCTTGACTTTTCATTAATATCAGGACTGAGGGAAAACCTCATGTACTCTTGATGCATCTTGCACTGAATCTACTATTTAAAATAGCCTAAATATCATTTTCAAAGGCAAAGCAACTGAAATACAAACAAAGTTTTCCAAACAGATATACTTATCATGTGGAAAAATGAATTTGTGAAGCCAGTGGCAGTTAGAGAAATGTGTGTCAAGCTGTAAAATCCTGTGTAGGGAACCAGAGGATTTTGCTGACACATTCATACGTCATGCTAAAGAAAGGTTAAAATGCTATGTGTTAGAAAAAGGACCTAAAGAAACAAAATTATGTGAGTTCTGCTAAAAGAAAGCTGAAGTCCTTCAAGTAGGGAAGGGAAGGTAGAAAGAAAATAACAGGAAACAGACCAGGTCAGAACAGAAAAAATTGCAAACTGCAGCATCTTTTTTCTATAAAATTAAGTCAATCTTTATGTGCTCAATTTTGCATAGAATTAGTAGAAATATTACCTGTTTAGAAACAAGATACATGATCAGCTATTTACACCACTTCTTGTCACATAAAAACTAGATACCTGAAATAAAACATAGCTAAAAAAGTAAAAGGATCCTTCCACCATGAAAGCTGTGAAGAGTATACTAGCACTCAATATTTCCATTTTCAGACTCATTCACAAAAAACACACAGAGTAACAAAACATACTCCAAATACTTTGCTTGCTAGTAGATTAGAAGAAGGATTCATTCAGAAAAAAAAAAAATTATTTTCACCCATTGATTCATGGGAACAGCCTACAGGGAAGAGAAAAATATATTAGTCTCTTTCGAGTGTTGGCCTGACTCTGCCTAATCCCAGGAGGTCAAATGGTGCCACAGGCCAATGTCACAAGGAAATAAGATCCAGTCATCTGCTTCTCGCCTGCTTTGATGGATTTTCTCCAACTGGCAAAAGGAATGAAACCCAAGACTTCAGCATGAACTTGACCTGACAAAGCTCAGCCCTACAGCAACCTGTTCTCCCATCTTCAGAAGGAGTATACTCTCACCTGTAGAGTTTAGATTTAAAGTTCACATTTTAGACTTGTCCTTACAAATATTTTAATAGCATGCATCAACAGCTGTGAAGATGATTCCTCTATGACTTGTCAGCAATTGAGAAATCAGTCCTCTGGAAAGGAGGACTACTTGTGCTGATATTACTGATTGAGTGATGCTAGAGAGTTTCCAAAAGATTCCAAGAATTCATAACATCCAGGATTCTTCAGATCACCCCTCACTCTGGACACACAGGAGTGGAGTCATCCAAACTAAATATTTAAAGGTGCATTTTATCTATACAATGTGGAAATAATATGTATAATACATATTGTTTATACTAAAAATATATTGTCACTATCTATATATCCCAAAGTCAAGAGGATACCTACAAAAAGATCAGTAAGGGAACAAACCTGCAACTAGTTCTGTGACTGTAAGACATGACTGGAGAAGAGTGAGATTTCTCCACTGATAGAAGTTATCCGAAGGTATCCCAATAAATCCATATGGGGATTTCCAATGTCTCACACCAAATTTTCCTAAAACTACATAAAGGGCACAATAGTAAGGGACTTTGGAGTTTCAGAAGTTTTACTGAGTTACTGTCATGTCAGGCTCAGAGTCCTTGTCCTACCAGCACTGCAGATAGCTCCATGGAAACATACACAATCCTGAATCACAATGTAGTCCCTAAATTTCAGGCAGCATCACTTTAGTATCTTTATTTCATTCCACTTATTTCTATTTTATTCCATTTCAGCGTAAGGGCTCTCACAGGAAGGTGTTAGGAGGGAAAGCTAATCGTGCTCTTGACTTCACAGGAGTCAGATGTAAACTACAACTTTCTAAGAATATAAAGCAAAGTACCATTCCAGTATGTCTAAACTGCACAGTTAATTTTTCCTTACTTCATCCCTGCCTACAAAAAGGAATATCATCCCATAAGTAGACATTCCACTACACTTATTACAAGCCCTGTCTGCTGAAGTGATGGCAGTGAAGGCATGTATTATATAGATTAATCTGAGATACCACATTGGGGTAAAAAAATGCTTGAAACTTTATACTTTGAAATGCAGAAATACAAAACTGCAACCCACAGGCAGACCCTTCTCAGCCAAAAGACAAGATGCACTTAGCCCAGAGCATGAGGACACAAGAACAAGAGAAGCGTTTGCTCACAGTATCCAGTCAATGTATTTACCCAGGTTTGAGAGCTGTGTTTTCAGTTTCAAATTTACAACACTGATATCCCAGCCCTATCCAAGTCACAGGTCATCTAAAAACCATTAAATGGCTGAAAATAGAAATACTGTAGTCATTTTATCTCATGAACACATAATGAATTCTAGTTTGCCAAGTACTTCCCTTGTTACTTCATCATGTTTGTCTGTCATTGAAAACATCTCCAAGTCTAGGCTCAGAAGCTATTTACTTTCTAAAAATAACTAAATTATGTCCCTTTGACTGCAAAGCAGACTCTGTTATTAAATTAGATGGTCTAATATACATTATAAAAGGCAGCTAACTTCCTGACAGATAGGAAGTGACCTTAAAAACGCTGTCAGTATTCAGCTACCAATAATTCTTGATTTCTAAAATATTCCTTTGCATAAAGGACCTGAACACCAACCCATGCAGTCATACCACTTTTCTTATGTGGAAGTTGAGATATATTATTTATTGTCAAAATACAGCTACTGCAAAGACTAAAGAAATGAAAATAGGAAAGATGGGCGCATGGCTGAGAGGAAAGAATAAGTTACTGATTTCCCCACAAAGGTCATATATGCTTTGATTATTTGAGTGTTGCCTCCAACTTCTGTTCTGTCCATACACAAGAAGTTTTCATATGAGTTTAGCAATGTCTTAAGTTGTCTACTTACTGAGGGGAGAGAAAGGCAACAGGGAAGGGTTAAATTAATAAGAAGAGCCAGCAGGAAACCAGGATTGCAAGAATCATTCTAGAAGGATAAAAGCAAGGAAAAGTCCAACTACAAATCAGGCACTCAGTTGTGAAGAGGCAGACTTGGGGTCCATACTCAGGCCCCAGGATGTATTTCACATTTTATAACAAAGTCTTTGAAGTCAGTGAAAAAGCATCAGTGCAGAAGAGAATGAGAGAGAAGTATCTCTAGAAGTAACCCAGGAAATATGAATGAGGTGCTCCACCACTACCTCCTCCCAGCTGAATTATCTTAAATTGTAAATTACAGGGTTAGGATGCTTTTCACTTGGCTCCGTTCCAAGTATGTCCCATTTAAGGCACCGCTCTGGACTCCACCAAGATGCTTGAAATGATGGCAGGAATTGCCATCAACTGGGACATCTGTCAGGCAGGGCAAGTAGAAGGAGTGTGTCCCTTCTAAAATGTCAGGATTTACGAGAAGGTTACTAGGTCAGCATTTTCTCACATATTTATAGATTAAAAACTGAGCCATGACCGAGTGCAGTGAGACGATGGACTGTCAAGGACAAGCACACCTGGCAAACTTGTTCTTTTGTCTAAGAGATAAAATTATTCTGGGGTGAATTTACATAATGCAACTAGGGTAAAGTAATTTAGTTTCCTAAGAAATTAAGACAGGAGTGGTAGCATCTGGTCTCAGAAACATTTAGCCAAGGAGAGTTAAAGCTAATACAAGAAATTATGGGAGGAAAGAGAGACATCTAACAATGCAGGTGTGGCGAACTGATTGTTTAAAGCCACAAAAGGAATGATCAGGTGGGGACTGATCTGTAAACTGAGAACTAGTGGCAATGGGAATCATGAACAAAAATAAGGAGTTTTAAACTGGAGAATGTGTTACAGGTAAATTAATAAGCAAAGGGGAAGGCACCAAGTATAAAGAGCTGAGACTGTGAGGGTGGTGCAACACTGGAAGAGGTTGCCTGGAGAAATTATGGATGCCCAATCCCTGGGGATTGGAAAGTGGAAAGTGTCCCTGCTCATGGCAGGGGGTTTATAACTAGATGGTCTTTAAGGTCCTTTCCCACTCAAACCATTTTGTGAGTCTATGATCCTATGACTGAAACATGCAAAGAAACCAAACTGGAATAAGAACCCTGAGAAACAGATATTGAGACTGGGCAGGTGAAATAATGGAATAGGAATGAGGAAAGCAGTAGAGAAAAAGGATGAGAACAAGGAAGGCACAGGCTCAAAGTAATCGAGCAGGCAAATCTCTGCGCATCAGGTTCAATATCCTTACATCTCCAGAACCTGGTGCAGAATTTAGGGTGGCAAAGTCTGTAAAGATATCCAATTTCAGTCTCCTCATTCTCTTAGATTAATGTTTATAGACATGGAAGAGAACTACCTGGCTCTACACAGACCACAACTCAGCTGAGATTTTACACAAAAATATTATGAAAAATAAAATAATTATTCAAATGTCCTCCTTTCACACTCAGCTGTAGAACATAACTATATCCCATTGCAAAACATATGCATTTGTCTTAATACCTTGTCTAATCCTGGTAACCACTAAAAAAACTAGGGATAATTTATGAAGATTTAGAATCCTCAAAGATCTGCAGCCATGAAAATATTTAAGAGGTAACATTGCCAACAGCCCCTGAAGGTATTTGAAGGTAGGGTCTGAGGCTGTCTAGACAGAAATCAGGCTTGTAATAACCAATTCTCCTAACTGACAGCCTGTAAACAAACCTGCCTGAAAAGCTTGATCAAAGTCACAGCTTCATTCCTTGGAACCAGACACAGGCAAGTAACTGGAGGACAGATGCCAGGCACCAGCAGGAAGCTGCCAGGACAAGAGCATGCAGGTATAACACACTTGAAATACCTCATGGATTGCTAGCATACTACAGCAGTGCTATCTGTTGCAATTTTCTGTACAAATGCCATAAACACAGTTCTTCAGAAAAAAATTAATTAGAACATAGCTCATTGTCAGCAAGACACTTTGTTCCTTTTACTTAATAATATTCTTAAGTGCAACAAGGAAACATAGTGAAATAAAAAACATTTTACCCTCTTGTCTTTTGAGTTCTCTAACCCCTTGATTTTGTAGATGGTTATGCTGTGATGATGTCAAATCCATACTATGCCACAAACCCTAGGACAGAGAAACACAAGTCTGTCTCAATATAATTACTTTATTTCTTCTTTCACACATAAGCTTCATTTTAAATAAATAAATGACATGTATTATGCTACAATTTACTTCTATTGATAGTAGAGACATGAACACACATAAGCATTCAAGGCATAAAAGTACAAGACACAGCAAACTTGTTCAACTCTTATATTCCCACAGAGGAAAAAAACAGATTAAAAAAACCAAACCAAAGTTTTGATTCATTTTAGATCTATTTTATGAAATTTTGTTGTTAGAATCAAAATCAGGTTTGGTAGACTTATAAAGGATTGAAAGGAAAGATAGAAACAAATTCCTGAAAGAGAAGAAAAATTGCACCAATATGATCTAATCTTGTTTGAATTAACTGGTTTGGAAGGGAAGGAAACTAATAGTAAAAGCTGTGCATGAGAATAAGGGGGCAGGATCTACAAATAACATGCTGAACAGAAAGAATACATGCCTATATGAACAGGAGTATGCTGGATGAAAAACTAGTAGGATAAGTGGGACAGAGGACAATACAATTTTCAGCTGTCTGCAGACAACCAATAGTCTCCAATTCTTCATATTTTACAATCAGAAAGAACACTGAGTTCACCGAAAAAACAAAACAAAACAAAAATCTCACACAGTGTTTTGATTATTTTTGATACTTTGATATGATTTTTAAATGTCCTCTCTTACATGGAAATTTGACTGATTTTTGCCAGGATGGTTACAGGTAGCATATAGTTAATAATCTACAGATGTTTAAAGATCCAATAGGGATGTAATTAAATAAGGTAATGACTAAAAGAGTATCTCTCCATAGTGGGACCAAACAATAAAATGAAAAACAAAAAAAAAAGAAAGGACAATCAAAATAAAATATATTCTGAATATCAAATCACCTTTACAGTGCAAAGTCTTAGGCAGATTTTCTCTCAAAACTTCAGGATCAAGAGAGGCTGTATGGAACAGCCTTCTCTTGTTTGAGATGATGCACCTTACTCTCTTGACTTCACACCACAAAAGGCACAAAGGTTTAATGTTTAACTTTACTACTACAATACCAGCACCCATTATCCTGTTCGAAGGTGAAAATAACTTATGGGCTTTCTACATGTCACCATAGCACACAGAACAAAAATATTGCCATTATATGTATGTCTATACATGAACTTAGCAACAGCAACATCATTAGATAGGAAACAGAAAAGAGACAGTGGGATTCAAAGTCTTTGTATGCATCTTCAGAATAACAAGTGGCATAAAAAACTACAGGGATACTAAACAGAAAATGTTACACACAGTCATCACCTTGTTGTTTATATCACAAGTATTAAAAATTACAGATTTTCTTCCCATTAGAAGACAAAATAGAAGGTAAAATCACCCTACAGGACAAAGTCTTTGTATTTTGTAGTCCTTTACATTTTTAATGTCATTCCAAAAATATCCTGAGGTGCACTGAGCTACACAGCAACCTAAAATAGTCCAACATGGGCGTTCAGGAGTGCTACAAGCAACTAAACAGTGCTAACAGCTCAGCTACACTTTTAAAAGTAAATTATATAAACTAATTTAGCATAAAAGACAGAGACAAGCGAAACACCACTAGCATCCACCGCATTTCAGTCGACATTACCTGAATCTCTCACAGCTTTCCAAAAACGGTGCTCCAACAGCCAAGTCCTTATCTTGCCCCCGTGACAGGCGCAGGCAAAGGCGTGATCCGAAGCCTGTGTCACACATTGCCACCATCCCCGCACCGGCAGCGATCACAAACCCCGACAGCTGCGGCCCCAGCACAAAGAGGGCACCTCGCAGCCCTTACATAAGGGAGCAATTTTGTAACAGCAAGAGACACCCCTGCCTCCCTAGGGAGCTCCGAACACAAAGTAACCAACTCGGGAGCGCTGTTTACAAAATAAATAGTGGCAGCGTGTTAGCAACTCCTCACTGCTACTAAAAAGTAACTGAGGAACACAAAGTCATTACTCAGAGCCAAAAGGCTCTTCCAGGACAAAAATTTACCAAGGGGAAGGGGTGCTTTTGCAGCTGTTGTATAGGAATGCATGCTCTCGTTGGAATGCAGAACTGTAACAAGGTAAAACATACCACTGCTCCATATCCAAGATGTCCATGCACTCAACAGATCACAAACACTGTCGTGGGACCAAACACAGGTATCTAAGACTTCTCTTTTTTAGACTGTAATCAATTCAGGACAGGAGCCATCTCTCACTTTACACATTTTTAAGAAAAATAAGACTTCAACCTCAACTTGGTTTTCTAGGCATTGCCAAAAAATAAGAAATTATTGTACCAAAACACTAAACAAGCCCTACAGAGAAGTGAGAGTCTCTGTACCATAGGTGGCAGAAGAAATTAAAGGGAGCTCTTCTACTTTTTTATAAAAAACTCACCAGAACCTGATACACATTTTTAAAGTGAAATTCAGCAATGTTAATGAGTGCTTTATAAAATAGTCCTGTAAACTGGCTGTACAGACTGAGAATTTGCTTAAAATGTTATAATCTTTTCTAAAAGTGGTATCAAAAGGGATGATTTTTGCCCCATATAAACTGTACATGAAGTTAGACTCTGCAATTGAAAGGGTCAAATCCCAACCAGTTCACTTCAGCTCCTCACCCATTTAGGGGAGGATAATGTCTCATACAAAACTTTAACAGACAGTCTTGGATGTCAAATAATGAAACAATGAGAAATGCAGTAGAAATATCAAATGAGAACACACACACACACCAAAAAAAAAAAGCAAAGACTAAAATGTAACATGAGACCAGAAGTAAGACAGGTAGAATTCTGTGCTTTCCCTCCTTAACACCCAGGAGCTGGAAATAAATTTTACACTCAGAAGAGAGGCATGTGAGAAGTCTGAGCTTCACATCACCTCACACAAATTAATCCAATGTGAGTGCTGCAACCAGTAGATACCTCTGAACATCACCTTTGCAAACAAATACTGTCTTCGGACACAGCCAAACTCCAAATGGAGTCTGTGACATGTAACTCCAAATCTAGAAACATGTCTTTTACATTCAGAATATCAACAATTACTGCACATCAGATTACAGAGGGACTTACTGTACTGTACGTTTTTCCTTGAGATTTTTTGAGGATTTGCATCATGTCTCTTCAAAAGAAACTATTACTTTGGTTCATAAAACTTTCAAGACAGGCTTAGGGAAAAAGAAAAGCAAAAAATTGAACCTATTTTACATCTTCCAACACCTAGAAAGAACCCAAGAAATTTTCAGAATTTCATTTAAATTTGAAGTTAAGGAAGTAACTGGTTTTAACAGTTCTATCAACTGAATTAGAATGCAAATAAATGGAGAACATATTTTGGCTCAATTTTAAAATCTGAAGCCTGGAAACTTCTATTAAGTGAAATCTAAGTCCTTCCAAGTAAGTGTGCTAAAATTAGTTTTTTTGTTTGGAATCACTTCTATTTAAGTCCTGGACAGAAAATGCATGGCAAAATGTAGTACAAATAAGGATAATTTATTATATTTTTAAAAGAATTCATTAGAATATTTACAAAGCTCAAGTCAGAAAAATCAGTCTTTTTAAATAATTATTTTATTTAAGACATTTTCTTTCTTATTCCCCTCTTGCTCCGTGATTTCTTTTTTCTGCCTTCAAACACAGGTTTGGCAGTCACCATGACCACATTTCCCATGTCTTCATCCTCACCACTTGAGCTACTACACCCTTTTTTCTCTTTATGGTCCACTGTCTCTGTTGCAGACGTATTCTTCCTCCTTTTGCTCTTGCCTAAATCTCTGCCTTTGGATTCCTCCACTGAGGAGTCACTAGAAGTTTCTGAAAGATGCAAATTTCCAACAAAACCGCCTCCATATAAAAATTCTTTTCTGGAATCTGACTGTTTCCTTCTCTTTCCCCTCTGTACTTTTGTTGCTGCAGCTTCATTTGCACCGCCTGTGGCACCTTTCCCTTTCCTCTTCCCAGGCTGTTTAAGTTCCATCTCCATGACAGCAATGGCCTCCTGAATTTCATTGTCTGCTTCCTCCTGTTCCTTTCTCTTCAGACAAGTCACAGCTCTGCGCAGTCTCTGGCTTTTAATAGCTTGTTTTTCATGCTGTTCTAGCCTGAAGAATGAATCGATTCGAAGCTGAGTCTATCAAAAATAAAACAGAAACACAGTTGAATGTTTTTGTGGGAATTCAGTTGTTAGCTATATTATAAAGCATCTTAAACTAAAGCAGGACAAAGAAGTAATGAAATTAATACACATGCACACAGATGTGAACAATAAGACACATCATTACAGTAATAATACCCATACTTTATAATAAATTAGGCAACAAGAACCTTTACAGAAATTAATAATTAGCAAACTCTAGTAAGACTTCATAAATATTGCACTGCTGGTGATTAGATATATGTTCCTACTGTCAAGCCTAATACAGAGAATCTCTGTAGTGCTCTTAAGTAGGTCCTTACAAACACATCCTTAGCTTCCAGCTGTGAAAGCAGAATGTTTACTAAGTAAATGCTGTAAGTGCACTTTGCATTTCTGCCTCCAAGTGCAAGAACACGCAGGTGTTTGACTCAGGTTCACTGCACCACATGCTGCTACAGTATAAAGACTGAAGAGTAGAATTAATAGTCCTCACACAGTGTGGATTTGTGCTATTCAACCACAGCTAGGCTTTTTGTATAGGCTAAGCCAGTCCTCTACTTTTTCCCTAACATTGCCTAAGAGAGACAGACTCTTACAAAGGATATTCCAGTCAACCTGAAAGTATATATATGTAACTACAGGGCTTTCACTCCACTCAGTGACACAGAGAACCTAGAAGACTGGTTTAAACAATGTATCTATCTTGTGTATGGCAAAAGGAAAAAAAACACTGGGGATCAATTTTACAACCTACTTTGACAGCTACCACAGTGGGCATTACCATTCACTTTCAAGTGTTAATAAAGCTGACAGAACACTTACTTGGAAATTAGAGTACTATTACTAATGGGCACTTGCTCAACAGTTCAGTCTGCACTCTTCCTTAAAGGATGTGTACAGCATCAAATGGGCAGTATCACTCCATCAAAATCTCAGGGGCACTTTTATATGTACTTTATAAAGTGCTTATGGAACACTCTCTTTTAGAAGTACTGAAGTTGCTTGAGGTACCTGTAGCTTGACTGTGTCCAGAAAAAACAGCAACCTGGACTTGAGATAGGTGCTTGATAGGTAAGGAAACTTGAAACCAATGTCTGAAATTATGCAGAGTCCCTCACAGCACACTCAAATCATACAGAAATCAAGTCTAGAGAAGCAAGCTTAGTGACTTTAAAAAAAATAAATACATAAAAATACTAAAAACCAAAGCCCAGCTTCTGAAAAGATATTTTACTTCAAAGCCTTTTTAAAATGCTTCTCTCACAATTTTCCAGATATTCTTAAACTATAGGTAGATTTTCACCTGCTGCAAGTTCAGTTGTTTCATCACAGGCAAAAGGATTCCATCTATCTTTGTCCTAGTCCAGCCAAAGTGGTCCTTGCAGAATGTGCAGAAAGTTAAGGAACTTTTCAAAATGGCTTCTACTGGTATTTTGTAAACACATAAAATGAAAATTCCTGAAGTAAACAATGTCTGGAGGAAAGTTGCTCCACTTCAAAACTTTTTCTACTACAAAAGATTCTCGATTAAAACAACACATCACAATCACACTGCTGTATCTCCATTAGTTGCAGAATTGTTTTTCTAATATATCAACATTTTCAAAAGCCTGTCTCAGTGAAGACAGAACTCATTTTGGCTAAATGGTATTGCCATAACACAAAATGCCTATAAATAAACCTTATTTTTACACTTGTACCTACTGGAAGTTTCATTTACTGCTTAAAACACTATTAGCTCTGCATTTTTTGCCATCTACTTTTCAATAGTTTGCTACAGCTCAGACTGCAACTGAAGCAAAAAGTAGACATTATTGGAAGAAATGCAGGGAATAAGAAGGGATAAAGTGCAGACCAAAACACCATTTCTGTCGAGACTTCAAGACTTATTTGTGAAAAAAGGCAAACATACAGAGACTTCAAGAGGAGAAATAGGCACAGGACAGTTACAGAAATATAACAGTTATAGAAATATAATATCACAACAAACTAGTCAGTTCAGCTACAAGATTGTCTTTGCATGCTAAGCCCACTCTCAGGAGGGCAAGCAGCCCTGACTGCCACACATGCATGGCTGCATTCCCTTCTATTCCAGAGCTGCCATCATTTTAGGGGAGCACATGCAGATAGGGCTTGGGGCCCCTTGCAACAAAGAGATGTTAAAAACTTGACACTCCATTACTGACTCCTTATGAACTTTGAGTACTTTTACCCAACCAGTAAAAGGATATTCTCTGATCTGCTCTACATCAGGCTTTCCCCAGGTGAATGAACCCCTTGACTCGTCCACCACAGGTTTCAGGTATGCTTCTGCCACTGCTGGATTTGGGAAACCTGAATAAAGCTGTAGCTCCCGCAGTTTTTTCTTGACTTTGCTGTCATGTGGATTAGGCATCACTTTCTTATTCTTCTGAGCCTCATTCCACCATTCACTGAAAAACAGAGAAAATTATTAATCTGACTTATAAAATAAAATCTGAAGTATCAAGAGCCACCCTGCTAATTTCAATAGCCTTAGTCTCTCTACTTCAATTACTACAAGAGATGATGTAGAAAACGCCCAAATGAAAGATGGCCAAAGGGACAAAAAAATCTTAAAAGCAGAAAAGACAAAACGTACACATTAAATGCAGCTATTGTAAGCCAAAGTAGCAAATATCACCTGGATTCCCCATAAACAGCTAACCAGAAGGCTCCAACTTTAGCCTCACTTGCAGAGGATGCTCCACACACAATGATCATTTTTAGAGGTTTTTAGGAATGCAAGGAAAAGAAAGGAAAACACTTCTAACCATCCTTGCTATTGCCAAT